CCCCAAAACCCCAAAACCCCAAAACCCCAAAACCCCGCGATAAGGATATAATATTGAATTGATACAAAACTTTTAAATGGATCTCTAATAAAAATCCGATGATCCAAACACATCGTTCAAGTAAAGATGTCCAAATCAAGCATTCCTTTAAACAAACGTCCTTGAAAACACACTATTTAAAAATCCCCAATTTCCACAATAAAAAATGCTGAACCCTTCTGACTAACAATGAAGCCCCTGAGCAATCCCTAAGCTTCCTGTGCTCTTTATGGAGCCAGGTTTCTCTACCCTATTCTACAAAACTGAGGCTTAACTCTTCTTAAAAGCCACATTTCTTAACAAGTAGTAACCTTGGCATATGGCAAACCGTAGATCCCCTTCACAACAGAAGCAGGCGGAAATCTAAGGTTCGTTTTCAGTACCAATTCTACCAAACTCTTCGAGAGCCCTCTTGAAGTAACCATCCTAAGAAGCTGGCTTGCCGCTTCTTCATCGGAATCAGTCTTGAAAATAACCGTTGAAAGACGTAAGTACTTGAGAAGGGGCTTTCAAGTGAAGGTCAGTGGCCTTGGCCGAAGAGTGACGGTTCATTTTTGGATTTCAGCGATGACTGTTTGAGGTATGGTGTTTAGAATGATGTTGAAGTGGCGAGCAGTCAGTCGGAATTTAGTCAGGCTGAATATGGTTAGTGAGTTGCAAAGGATTTTGGTGATTTGGAGCAGGATGGGAGTGGTCATTGGGGTACAAGTTGGTAGCTGGTTCGAGATAGAGAGTTCTTTGAGGTTTCAGCGTCCAAAAGTGGTCAGAATTTTTATGAGGTCGTAGAAAGGATCGTCCTTTTCTTTCCATATTGAAAGGCTATAGGTTTTATTTGGTCTTTGAGAATTGTATTGTATTGAATTTGGCATTTGTCATACATCAATAAGTTCATTCTCCCTCTTCTAAATGAAATATTAATGTATAAAATCAAATCAATCTCTTTATTTTGTATCTTTAGTTTAATTAACACAACAGTTTTGTCAAGTCTTGAGAGAACTCGTAAAAATATTCATCTAAAACTAAAGTTGTTGTAAGCAGAGATAAAATGTGTTAGATTTATCAAACTTCCCACTTCTCCTTGAACTTATCAGTACCTAACTCCACCTCCAATTCTAAGATCTTTTCCAAGCTGATATATTTTTGATATAAAATTATCCAATAATTGTAGCAGAAAGATGGAGTAAAATGTACCTAAATTCCTGATAATGACTCTCTCTTGATCCCCAGTATAAGTAAATATATCTAATTTGAATCACTGATTCAGAGGTTCGATGCAATCAATTGCAAGAATGTCTTCAAGAAGGAAGAGCGATGATTCTGTTGAACTTCTAAGTCTATATTCCATATTTATTATATAAATTTGTGAAATAAAACACTTGAAGGGGTTTTGGGGTTTTGGGGTTTTGGGGTTTTGGGG